TATTTCGAGTTTGATTTTTGTAATCAAACATATTCTCTCCTTTACTCTATTTCTTTTATTCTTGTTGTTGTTTTGTACACAACAGAATTAAATCCGTTTAAATACAGTGAAGATTGTCCTACAAAATCTCCCTTAATTTAAACCATTTATTTATTTTCATTAAACAAAATTGATAGAAAAAATATATTTTAGTTATAAAACTTAATGAAAAAATATCGTTTAGACAATTTTTGTACATCTACATTGAGTATAATGTTTAAAATATTATTTTTTCTGTCAATTTTATTTAGTAGAAATAGGTAAATGATTTAAATTAAGGGAGATGCACCAATAAATCTCAAATCTTTATCTTATGACCCATTTGGTTCTATGTTTTATCTTATGATCCAATTAGTCCCAAGCTAATGTTAATGGCAAAATAACCAGTGTTACACTATGTTTTGCGCTTTTTAGTAAGGGTAAATTAGGAAAACCCCAATGTGGTATTGACTGAAATGCCCAAAACTCTGTAGATGTTTGTTTTCCCTCCAAACACATCGTTACGCCGATGTTAATGGTCTTTTTTTTTTGGTTGGTGTTCATCACCATCAACAACATCAACTACATCACCAATATCACTAAAAAAATATCATCAAAAATCATCAATATTATAAAAATATCATCAAACATCGTCAACTACATTACCAACATTACTAAAAAAAATTTCATCAAAAAACATCATAAAAACATCATCAAACATCAACATCAAACATCAACAAAACATCATCAAAAAACATCAACAACATCAAACTTTAAAAAAACATCATCAACCATCAAACATCACCAACATTAATCATCAACATCCAATAATGATTTTGTGTTTTTTATAACATTAGCCATCTCTTTCTGAATCCAGTAATGATTTTGTGTTTTTTACAACATTAGCCATCACCAACATTAGCCATCTCTCTCTGAATCCAGTAATGATTTTGTGTTTTTTACAAAGAAAAAATCCAAGCGGAGATCATCAAACTAGGAAATCATCATCAAATCAATACTAGACATCATAAACATCAGGGCCATGATCAACATCATCAACATTAGTTCTGATCTACAGCGATCCATCATTAACATCAGTAGTAGGCATTATCAACATCAAGGCCATGACCAACATCAAACATCATCATCAAAACAACATCAAAACCCATCTGGGAGACTCCATTGAAGGCCCAATCGAGAACTTGAGAAAAACCCTTCTTTTTTGACCTCCAAAACTTGCAAATCTCTTCTACCCATTAATCAGAATCTCGTGAAAAAGGCCTCTGTCTAGGGTTTAAAACGCAGACGAATCCATTTTTTTTTCAAGGTTTTGAGAGATTCGAGAGTGATGAAGAAGGAAAAGATTCGATTTTAGGCAAATGGGTATTCAAAAATCCATCTTTCACAACTGTGTGCTTGAGAAAACTAATGGAATAGATTCGATTTGAAAAGAACAAAGCAAGCAAAGAGCTGTTTGGAGATACAAGATATTCAGGTGATGATAAAAAATAAATGTGGGTTTGAGAGAGAGAGAGAGAGAAAGAGAGAGAGGGTGAAATGGGGGATAGGGTTTTGAAATGAGGAAGAAAAACGAGAACCAGGTGGTGGAATGATGGAAGTGATGGAATCGTTCCGTTCAGGGAAGTTTCGCCGATCCAAACTCCGATCCGGTACTGTACCAGAGGGGCACCGGCCGGTGTACGTAGGAGAAGAGATGGAACGTTCAAGATCTAATAATAGGTATCGACAAGGTTGATGTTTGAAACATATAAACACCCACCCAAAATTATTCAATCTGATGTTTACCATTTTGGGTTGGTGTTACAACAAACATCTTGTTCTCTCTCTTTCGCCATTGATGAATAGTTGCAGAGAGAGAAAGAGAAATTGCACCCTCAAAAGGGTATTGATGTAAAAATAAATGGAATCAAATCAAACCCTCAAAAATCTAGACAAACATTAGGACCAAATGGTATACAAAAAAATTTAAAGAACTAAATGGTTTAACTTTTTTCAAGATAGGATTTATAGATAATTTTTCCTTAAATTAAAAACAAATCAAAAAATTAGAATTTAAATTGATAAAATTAAAAGTTTATAATTTATTTTGTTATATGGTCCAAATCGTGGGATTGTTTTTTTATAATTTCCCCAAACCTAAAAATGGTTCCTAAAATATGGTTTTTATGGGGGGAAAATTTGAACATGATTTCCGGAACAATTTTCCAAATAAGTTGGTTTTCCTAAAATATTGGGTAACAAAGTTTGTAGTTACAAGTAGGGGTGTGCGCGGTGCGGGTCAATGCGGTTTGAGAGAAAAATAGAAACCGTAGAGTGGGTGGCGAATTGATAAAAGTGTCACTAGAATTTGTCATTTTTCTTATCAAAAATCCGCGGTTCGGTTGGCAAATAATGGCGGATTTGCCTTGGCGGTTCGGGCGAATTGGCGGTTTATAAAAAATATAATTCAAATTACAAAACTTAAATCAAAGAATAAAAAAAAGACGAGAGATACCGTGATGTTAAGCTTCTTTAAAAGTGAATTGGAATCCAACTTTATTTTGGATTACTGACATCTTGAATTCCCCTCGAGCAGTAATGTAATACTATATTCTAAGGTATAGAACAACAAGCAAACTTAAGTAAAAAAGAATTTTTAGAATCTTATAAAACATGATTTAATCGGGTCGGTGCGGTTTGGAAGAAAAATCGAAACCGGCGGATTGATAAAAGTGTTACTAGAATTTGCCATTTTTCTTACTAAAAATCGGTGGTTCGATTGGCAAATAATAACAAATTTGCCTCGGCGGTGCGGCTCGGTACGGTATCGGCGGTATCGGCGGTATTATGCACACCCCTAACTACAAGTGGTCACGAGGGAATTTAACTTTATTAATCTATTAATATTTTATCATGTCACAAAAATAAATAAATAAATAAACTTGTTGCCCAAAACCTCCATCCCATTCTAATTCAAATTCGGACTAATAGTCCACGGAACATATTTGTGCCCCATTAGCAGTTTTTAAAGTTAAAAGTTTAAGATTTTTTCTACCCATTAAATATTTGGTTTAAATTTTTTAATATTGGATTGAAGATAGATGAACAAACTATAAATCATTAATTTACATGGGATAAATGCTATATAAATAAAACAATTATATGAAACTTCTATATAGAATGAAGTGACTCATTTTTAAACAATTCATTTAATTTTTTTTTTTTTAAAAAAAAACCACCACTATGAGTCATAATTGTATAAGTAATATTGTCACATTATTCTATCTGATTTTTTTTTAATGAAAATATCATGAGTTCATAATTCCTAAGTTCGAATTCGTGAGAAACTCAATTTATTACAAAGATGTTACTGATATCATTATTCTGTATGCACAATAGATTGGTCTTCATGGCCAAAGTTGATTGGTCTAAAATCATTAAATTAAAAACATTAAAAAAGAATTTAAAAATTTTGGAAATTGCTCATTAGGAAATTTAAAATAACTGTTACTTTTTTTTAAAAAAAAATAAAAAATTCATTATTTTGACATACTACATCAGCATGATAATGTGCTGCACTGGACATGTTAAATAATTTATCCTCTTTCAGACTCGTTATATATCCATCTTGATAATTTAAATTAATTTTTTGTAGAATTTTTCAGAAATATTATTTATTTCAAAAAGACAATTGTAATTACATGATCCAAATAAGTTTACCTTAAAAAAATAAGTGAAAAATATAATTTTAAAAATAAGTGGCCTATTTTTTTTTTTTTTTTTGGAAAGAAAAACGTGTTCTAATATATGACTTCTGATGAATTTATTTTTGTACATAAAGGGTGGGTTATAGTAAACTTCGTTGGAATTACGGTAAACTTCCTCAAATTATAATTTATTTGCACTTGCCCCCTTAAACTTTAAAATGGAGCAACTAATTGCCTCGAGCTATTATCTTATTACACCTAACAGCGTTCATTAGAATTATGTCTTAGTTGGGTTAAAAAAACATAAAAGGCAAAATAGGCTAAATAAATTAATAAGACAAAATGTCATATCCAAATCATAATCATTTCATTTTTTCTTCACAAAAGTCAAAAAAACCAACCAAGCAAACTTTTTAGTACAAAGCTAAAAAAGTCTCAACTCAAAAAAACCAACTAAAATAACTAATGCCAAACGGTGACTTAAACGGAATCATATCATATATGACGCACTTATTGATTTTTGAAAACAAAAATACTCGTTATTGATTTTTTTTAGGGCAATAAAACTTTTTTATACTGATATAATTTATTGTCTCCCTTGTCTTAGTGACAAAGTACAAACATGATCATCAGATAATGACATTATTGCCTTAAAAACTCAATAAATGTGCCACATACTTTACATATGATATAATTTTATATAAATTCCTAAAAAAAGAAGTTAATTGTACTCGGATAATATTTTGAAGTAATTAATTGTTTAGTTTTGAAATTCTAGAAGACAAAATGTAAATAAATCATAATTTTAAAAAATTTACTATAATTTAGCCAAGTTTAAATTAAGGTTAGTTACACAAAAACCTTTTAAACTATTATAAAATATTACTTTGACCCTATAAAAGCGTACAAATAAATTTTTTAAACTATTTACATGTTTCACTTTAATCATTTCTATTAGGGATTCAATTTATACGTTTTTATAATTTAAAAAATTTATTTATACGTTTTTATAATTTAAAAATAAAATGATACTTCTAAAAAACTTAAAGAATTTATTTTTATGTTTTTTAATTTAAAAACTAAAAATAATATTTTTTAATAATTTAAGAATTTTCATCTAAATAATCCTGTAAATTATCGAAATAGAAATAGAATTCATGTAAAGCCACAGACAACATACAACTGGACTATCGGATAAGGATTACTGTTTGTTTGTTGAAAAAAGGCCCATTGTTTCCAAAACCACCAAACACATCATCATCATCATCATTATTATCTTCTTCATCTTCATCTTCGTAAATGTATGTGCCTCACTATAGTAGTATATAAACCCAATCTTCTTCAATCGCACCTATAGTAGTATATAACGCAGTGCTGTCAAAAAACAAAAACAAAAAGACAATTGCAGTAGATAAGTATTCTTCTACAAGCATTTCCAACCGTCCGATCAATCTCAAAAAAATGGCAGGGTGTGAAGCAAAGGAGAGGAAGATATTGGTAGCCGTGGATGAAGGAGAAGAGAGCATGTACGCTCTCTCATGGTGCCTCAACAACATCGTCGTTTCCCAAAATTCCAAAGATACCCTCATCCTCATCTACGCCAAACCAACTCCGTCTATCTACACGGCCGTTGACGGAACCGGTAACTAATTACTCACTTTTGGCGATAAAAAATATAGGGTTCATTATAATTTCTATCTCCGTTATTTGAATTAAATTTATTTTACTTATTATAGTTTTAATTTGAATAATTGAATCCTTACCTTCTAAATTTTTATTAATTTTATTTATGGATACACCTGATAATTTTAAAACCTGATAATTATTTTAAAATTATTTTAATTAGGTAAATTATACTAACACCCTGTGAGATTTTCTTTTATTACAGATTTTCCCTTAAGAAATTACACTGTATCCCCTGTCAAAATTTTTCATAAGTAATTCTATTTTTACACATTAAATCTCATAGAACATAGATTTTTTTTTAAAATTACATTTTTATCCTTTAATTAAATTATCATTTAGGAAAAATCTTTATCTTTTTCTATTTTCCCAATACACATCCGAACATATAGGGTTTGGTTGGATACATCAATCTTTGAACGGATCTAGGCTTTGCAAATGTTGGGTTCACGACAATAAAAAGATTTGTAGAGATTAGGATTGTGGCGGAGAAGGTTGTAGACCTTAGGGTTTTGAAGAAATGGTGACTAGCAAGGGCATGTTAGGGTGGTTTAGGCTAAAGCGGGATGAGCTAAGAGTAGCGGTGGCAATGGAGGGCTAAGAGTGGCGGCGGTGGTGGCAATGGCAACGGTAGCAGCAACATTCCAAGTTTTTTGAAAGAAGAAAAATCGGTGAACAAAAAATAAATTAGGATTTTAAAAGTAAAAGATAAGTAATTATTGAAATGAAAAGATGTGTAATGAAAATATTTTTATTTGATGTGTGTACTGAGAAAATATTCATTAAATATGTGCTAGGAGAGAATTTAGTGGGTAGAAATACAGTTATCCATTTATCATCTGTTAAAGTTAACAGAAAATTTAAAACTACAAAATTACCCTTCAATTCTAAAGGATATTACCACCCTTATCCTCCCAACTCTCTTTTTGAAGCAACCCCAAAACCTCTCATACCATCTTCTACCCCTACTATGAGCCCACCTCTACCACCATCTTAGAAGCAATTAATCAAATGTAAAGTGCATACCTCTGCAACCATATTTGTAGCCACCTTACACTCCAACTCCACCACATTTATCAACCACGCCCATCCCCATCATCCCACACCCATAGCTGCAGACAATCTTTGTCAAACTAAGACAACAAAAACAAATTCAGAATGTTACATAAATGTTATGGCATCTTTGTATGTACTTGTAATTTACCCATTTATTTATTATGGCATCTTTGTTTATTAACCCAATCTCAATCTTATATCAAATTTAAAATTTTAGATACTAGTCTGAGGTTTTCAATTTGAAATTTTTAGTCAAAATGTTACATAAATGTAACTTTATCTATTTTAATTGTTTCATATCTAATAGAGTTTTCAATTTAAATTTTATTGAGTAAAAATGTAAAAATTAAGATGCCCTTATAGTTTTAATTTTATTAATTTTTCCATATTACATTTTCATGTCAATTTAATTCAATTAGTAATATTCATTAAGTAATTAGACGAAAATCAAAACTAAAATAGTTTATTGAAAATTAAATGTATTATTATTTTAAATCGAACGTTATTTCTCAATCAGCTATTTTGACATCATCAATTAGATTAAATTGACATAATATAAAAAATATAGAAAAATTAAATGTAAACTTAATGAAATTAGAATTAGGTAAATGTAAATTTGTCATTTTCATTTTCATTTTTCCTTTATGAGGCAACTGTTTTGGTGGCATTTTAGTAAATTGCAATTGGTTTTCAGGATACTTGTTCTCGCCTGATACAATGTCATCTATGGAGAGGTACAGCAATGAGGTGGCTGAGAGTGTGATGGAGAAGGCCAAGAGACTTTGCAAGGAGGATCATAATCTTGATGTGTGTACTCTTTATTGCTTGTTTGTTTTGTATTTTTAGTGTATTCTGAATAGGGCTGCAAATGAACAGAGTCGTTCGTGAACAGGCTCGAGTTCGGGTCGGTAAGAATTCATTTAAACTCGGTTCGTTAATTTTTTTTTTGCGTTTGAGCTCAAGCTCGAGCTCGTTAAATTTTTAATAAATAAGTCCAAACATTCTAAAGCTCGGCTCGTAAGCTCGGCTTGTTAACTGGCTCGTTTAATATTTATTATTTATATATTAAATAATATAAAAATATGTATAAAAAATAAGAGAAATATGCTATTTATATATTTAAAAAATATAAATGTAAATAATAGTTAACTATAGATAGTACATTTATATAATAGTAGTAGTAGATATTATTATTTTAGTAAAATATGGATTTTTTTTAAGTATGTTTATATATATTGTATATATAATTGTATAATCAAAGTTTTTATTGTAACTTTAGTCTCACATGCAAGTATGAATTTATAAATTTTTTGGCTCGTTAAGGTTCGTGAACAAACTCGAGCTCGAGTCGAGCCTAAGCCAACTCGGCTCGAGCTCAGTTCGTAAATTTTTATTCAACTCGAGTTCGAACTCGTTAAAATCTTAATAAACAAGTCCAAACATACTAAGGCCAAGTTTGGCATGATTGAAAAAAGACAAAAAGTTAAAAAGTCACTATCCTATTTAAGTCACATCATCTTATTTAAGTCACATCACCTCTCTAACACATCACTTCAAATCCAACCCAAACCCAATCCATATTTCATAAAAAATCAAAAAGTGTACTTATTTAATCTTTCTAAATTAAGCCTAAAACTCGGCTCGACTCGACTCGTTTGCAGTCCTAATTGTGAAGGGTAAAATAGTTATATTAAAAAGGTGATTTTGTGGATTGTATGTGCGTTTGTATTGTAGGTTAAGGTGGAAACAAGGGTGGAGAGTGGAGATCCAAGGGACGTGATATGTCAAGCAGTGGAGAAGTTTGGAGTCGACTTGGCGGTATTGGGAAGTCACGGTTATGGCCTCATCAAGAGGTAGGTCTACTCTCACTTTTCCAATTTAACCGGTATATTTAAGTATATTTAGATTAGGTATATCTGAAAAATTGATTAAAATATGAATTTTTTAATAAAGATGAAAAAACACGAAAAAGCAAAAAATATCAAAAATAATTTTTAAAAACTAAACAGGGATTATTAAAAATTTTGTGCCTAATATTAAATTATTTATTAATAAAATTATGTGATTATATAATTATTAAATTAATCTTCTTCCTTTTTTATTTTTATTTTTATAAATAATTTACACACATGAAGTTACAAAATAAATGAAAAAATTATTAGGATGGTTGTGTGGTGGATGCACAAGGCTAAACTGGACGAGTGATGTATATGCACGAATTAATGTATTAATTAATGTATCAACACTAGTTATGATATTATTATTGACATCACTCATTATATAAACTACAAATATCAAAAACATCTTAAATTATGTCATATCATCAATTAGTACACTAATTTTGCATATAGTATTAGTCAAATTGGACTATCCAATTAATTTGGATAATATTAACTAGCATATCACACGTGCTATGTACGGATTGTGTTTACAATTATCTATATATGTGAATTGTGATTTTTAAATATTTTTTTTAAAATGTCTTCTTTTTTTCCTTTTTTATATTATATTAAAGTTTAATATTTTGATAATAATCATATGTGTTGGACTTTTCAAGAAATTTTTTTTTATGCTTGTTATTAATGCATTAAAGTGTTATTATGAGGGATAATAATCATATGTGTTGGGACTTTTCAAGGAATTAATATGTATTGGATTTCAAAGAATTTTTTTTATGCTTGTTCTTAATGCATTAAAGTGTTATTATGATGATAAGACTTTGGAGTTTGGAGAAGTTAATAAATGCTAAAATTTTTTTTTAAATCAAAAAATTAGAAATTTAGATTGAGATATTGGAACTCCCACAAGGCTTAGGGTTAAAAACTCCCAAATTTATTATTATTAAATATTTTTACTAATTAACCGATCAATTTTTCATAATAGTTGTAAGGCTTGGGTTAGAATATGGCTCAAAATTGAAGACAACTTGAAATTAGACAGTTTTCATATATAAATACTAGCATATCACCCATATTATGCACGGATTGTGTTTACAATTATCTATATATGTGAATTGTGATTTTTAAATATATATATATTTTTAAATGTCTTCTTTTTTCTTTTTTTATATTATATTAAAGTTTAATATTTTGATAATAATCATATGTGTTGGACTTTTCAAGAAATTGAATGCCTTTTTTTTATTATTATATTATATTAAAATTTAATATTTTGATAAAAATCATATGTGTTGAACTTTTAAAGAATTTTTTTTTATGCTTGTTATTAATCATTAAAGTGTTATTATGAGGGATAATAATTATATGTGTTGGGACTTTTCAAGGAATTTATATGTATTGGATTTCAAAGAATTTTTTTTTATACTTGTTCTTAATGCATTAAAGTGTTTGATAGTAAGACTTTGGAGTTGAGAGAAGTTAATAAATGCTAAGATTTTTTTTTTTTAAATCAAAAAATTAGGAAATTTAGATGGGGAGATTGGAGCTCCCACAAGACTTAAGGTTAAAAATCTTCTTTTACTTAATATATAGTATAGATATAGATGTGTTATTAGTGCATCAATTTAAAGGGTCTTACGGAGGTGTTACATGCATTAATTAATATACACATTAGTATACCAACTAATGTTATGCCATTATTATTGACTTCACCTATTATACAAATTACAAATACTTAAAATTTTTAAAATTATGACATATCATCTGTTAGTATACTAATTAATATATTAATTGGTACATATATTATTATTTTTATTGCTTACATTTCCACTCCCCTTCTTATCATCTACTCAATTTATTTGTCTTTTATTCTACAAACTTTTCTGTCTCTCGTTTAAAATTTATATCCCTGTGCCACATACACCAGAGGACGTGAGGATCTTAAATTAGAGAAACTCTGGGACACTATTATATAATTAAGAACTAGCATATCACCCGTGCTATGCACGGATTGTGTTTACAATTATCTATATATGTGGATTGTGTTTACAATTACCTATATATGTGAATTGTGATTTTTAAATTTTTTTTAAATGTCTTCTTTTTTTCCTTTTTTATATTATGTTAAAGTTTAATATTTTGATAATAATCGTACGTGTTGGACTTTTCAAAGAATTAAATGTCTTTTTATTATTATTATATTATATTATAGTTTAATATTTTGATAATAATCATATGTGTTAGACTTTTCAAGAAATTTTTTTTATGCTTGTTCTTAATGTATTAAAGTGTTATTATGAGGGATAATAATCACATCTGTTGGGACTTTTCAAAGAATTCATGTGTTGGATTTCAAAGAATTTTTTTTTATACTTGTTCTTAATGCATTAAAGTGTTATTATGAGAGGTAAGACTTGGGAGTTGGGAGAAGTTAATAAATGCAAAGATTTTTTTTTTAAATAAAAAATCAGAAAATTTAGATTGGGAGATTGGAGCTCCCACAAGGTTTGGGATTAAAAATCTTTTTTTGCTTAATATATAGTATAGATGCATTAAGGACATGAAATAAGAATTTTGGGTTAGAATCCCATGTTATAATATGATATAAGTGATCAAATATAGGGATATTATTTGATTTATCATGACGCATTGATTTAATAAAAGAATTTTTGTTTATGTGTATAAATATAGTGTACATTCTAAAAGTCAGATCATTTGGTATCCAAATTTAGTCACTAGCATTACTTCTTCTTTTTTTTAAAAAAAATAAGATAATTGCTAATTTTTTTATTTTTTATTTTTTGGGTTGATTTAAATGGCAGGACTTTTCTAGGAAGTGTGAGCAATCACTGTGCACAGACGGCAAAGTGCCCTGTTCTAATTGTGAAAAGGCCCAAATCAGATGGTCCAAGCAAATAATAATAATAATCACTCAAAATTCTATTTTTGTCATATTTTCCTTTTTATTTCTATTTTGGTTTAGGAGGTATTGTTTTGTTGTGGAAAACTTGATGAATGTTTTATATTTCTATTTCTTTCTTCTTTTCTTCTTCTTCCCTTTTCAATATTGTTGCTTAAAGTTTGTACTTATTGTAAAAAAATAATTTGAACATGTTTGCTTCGTCTTCGTCTTCGTCTTCTTCTTCTTCTTCTTCTTATTGTTATTTTTTTTTATCTTATTTATTTGTCTATCATGCCTAGAAGTTGTTAAACAACTAAAACTGGTCCACATAAAAGACAAGATTCAAAGTATAAATTTGATTATCACAAAGCATTTCAAGTTCACATCCAATACTCAGCAACAACCACTGGGTGTACTATCTAATGTGTTGTTTGATGATGTCAGGGGTGAAGTTAGGGGGTGCCACAGCTAATTTTTGAAGATCATAATCAATAATCAATAATTCATATATTATAATCATTATTTTGGAAAAAATTTATATGGTATAGTGCAAACATGTTACTCTCATCCTTCGACACAATCCCAAACTACATTGTTGCCAAAGTGTATACCCCTTTTTTTCTTTATTTTTTTTTAAAAAAAAATCAAATTGTTTAGTATAGTTTTTGTTTTTAATTTGTTAGGTATAAATCTATCTGTCTATAGGAGGTTTCTAAAGAGAATGGATGTGAGAGGTCTACTTGTTTAACCTCAATTTCTCATTTTTTTTCAATTTAAAAAAATAATCAACTATTCATGTCTTACATAATTTTTGAATTAAAAAATATTTAAATAAAAAAATTTCAACTCCATCTCCTAAAATTATTGCTTAAAAGATGATTCTTTTCTAAAATCAAATATAAAAAATACGGTTGGTTGACCTTCCAATTTATTTGTTCATCTTCTAAAATCTCTATCTAAAATCCTTCACTCCTTAAAATAAATTAAACAAAATTCAATTTAAATTGTTTTGTTTGATTGATTTTGTTTTCTTATAATTAATTTGTAAAACCGATTTGGTTATTTCCCTATAATTAAATTGTTTCCCGATAAATAAATTAAATAAACTGATTTGGCTATTTTCTATACTAAATTTGTAAATTTTTTAAGTTAAAAAATTTATAAAAAAAAAATCATGATTTATGATTTGAAAAAAGGAAAAATGAAGAAGATCTTTTTTGTGCACTCTTTCTCTAACCAATTTTGTTTCCTACCTCAAAATCCTAACTGTCATACATTATACCTTCTCTAAGTCATTCACATCTTCCTCATCTTATAAATATTACATTCATGCAATGATACACCTCATTATTTTTTCTCTATCTTTATAAGGCAATTGGATGTTAGTTAATATTTGCATTTTTTAAACAGAATCTTTTATCCTTTAAGTACACTCTCTTTTTTTTTCTTTTTTCTTTTTTTATTTTAACTTTTGACCATTTTTTGTTTTTGCATTTCATATTTTATGTATCATTTGTTCCTTTACTCTGGCCATTGTTTGTTTTTTTTACTTATAACCATTTTTGTTAGAAAATATTATTTCACTAAAATTTGTATGCAAAATTTTACCTTAAAATGATGTGGTAGTGTCATTTGTATAATAAAAAACATGTTATGATATGTGTTAATTGACAATTGGTGTAAAGTATTACTTTAAAAGTACCTAATAGTTTTTTCTTTAATATTTTTATAACGCCACTTTAATATTTTTTATCTGTAGTTGATTTCGTTTAAAAATATCAATTCAAAAAATATTTATGTAAACAAATATATGTTTAATTTTGTGTGAATTGAAGTAATATTTTGTTTGAATTAATTTTTGTTTAAAAATATTATAAAAATATCTACAGTTGTATAGATTAAAGTGAAGTTACAGTCATAATTACAATACTATAAAAAAGATATTACATTTAATCTATTTTTTCAGAGCTATTAAATATGCATAAATATATACCTTTTATTATGATTTTTTTTTAATTAATGATGTATGTTTACCAATTAAAAAAATATTTACATAAATAAATTGGTCAAGTGACTCTTCAATTTGTGTTGAATGACAATCTAACATAGCTTAGATACCTTGATCATCTCATAAAATTTAAAAATATCATTACATTTTACGAATAACTTAAATTTATCATACTCTATCAATTGACAAACCAAATTTTACTAATATGAGAATATTTTTTCTAATGTACTTACAAATATAAATATAAAAATTTAAATATTTCATTTCAATTTTTTTGACACATCGCATTAAAAATAAAGAGAGAAAGAAAATGAGTGAGAGAGAGAAAAAGGAAAAGAAAAAGAAAAAGATAAGATTGTTATATTACTTAACAAACTGTGATAGGATGAATTACAATTACAAATTTCATTGGTAATGTAATTATATTTGATAGAAAGTATAATTTTTTTAATTTCAAAAAATTCATTTGTTTTAATTTTACCAATTGAATTATTATATATCTATTTGTTATATAAATCTTAAGACAAAACATTAACAGCAACAAAAAATATAATAAAATAAAATTTATGTAACTCATGCCATGATATATTTTTTTTTAATCAAAAAATAAGAAACTAAAGAATGCTAAAATGTGTTTGGGATGTACCCAAAAAAAAAAAAAAATTAAAATCTTTGTACCAGTTTGGAAAGACCAAACAATTCTTATGAGTGAATGCATAAGTGTTAACACATTTAGAAATGTAAAACGGAAAATTTAAGTAACAAACAAAAATATTTGTATTTTCCCATACAATTAAAAAAACTCATTTCTAAATACATTAACCTTTCTTTCTTTCTTTTTTTTATCTCTTAAAAAAGCTAAAAAGTCAATTGAAAAACTAATTTTAAACACTCTTTTTGGTTAAAAAAAAGTTAAAACTTACTTAATATTATTTTTTCAAAAAAATTATTTTAATTAATTTAAAAATAAATTTATCAATTATTATTTAATCTCGTGCATAGAACAGATAATATGGTAGTATATATAAAGTAAAATGGTATTTCTAACGATGACTCTTGTAGAGACTCCAAATTCTCAAACTAATTTTTTAAATTTGTTTTTTAAAAATTAAAAAAGCTCTATTGACCAACCAATTACGCTAATTACTCACTATTAATTACCTTATGATTTGTAGTTTCCAAAACGAAAGACAAATATTTCCTACTTACTAGTTTCTTCCTTATATTCTCTCTCCCACCCCAAAACTCTAATGTTGTGTTTGGTTGGGGATATGGAGAGAGATTTAGAAAGAAAAAAGAAAAAAGTGTGTGAAACTAGGTGAAATGTATGTATATTTTATTCATATTTCACCTAACTTTTCTCTTTTCCTTTCCAAATTCCTCCTCAAATTTTCCAACCACACACAGCGTAAAGTGATACAAATTGCCCATCCATACACTAAACATCCTAAAGCGGTACAAATTGTTGATCTATACACAAAGTCAATAGAAGAATACATCTCTTTTTTTCCTTTTTTCATTTGAACAACTGAACTTTCATTAGAGATGCAGAATAGGTACATCGGATGAAAGTATAAATAACCAGGAAGGAGGGCAAACAACCTAATTAAAAGGTAAAGAGTTAGACAAGTGAACTTTTGCCGGCCAATGAACGGCTGTATTGTTGTCTCGTCCTGTCCAAGAGAAAGAGATCAAGTTGGGAGAGATGAGGTTGCAAATGTCTAGAATTACAGCCATACATTCCCACGAGGGATCTATCTCCGACACACAAAGGTGGATCACATCTTTGTTATTGTTGGAAATGGTTGGGAAATTCTAGGTAAAATCAAAATTTTTTCTTAATTTTGGTCTATTATTTAGGTGCGTTCTATGCCGCATTGTGATTCACGCGGTATATTTGGTTACTCAAAACCATTACCGAGTGAATGAAAAATTGAAGCTAAAGTATACTCCATAGAAATTGAGTTTTGGTGAAAAATCTTTAAAGGTTTGAATAAGCCTTGTCCCACATTAATTTGGTGGGAAATTTTCAATGGGTTTATAAGGCATGGGATTGGAACTTGGGGTGTACCTCAAGAGGTACCCAAGTGTTTTAGAGAAGGAGGTTATGGGCAAAATGGACTAGACCAATTGGACTCAAAAATCACCACATGCGTCGCCGTCCGGCCAGGCTGGACGCGGGTGCGTGGTGTGAAGTTGGTTTGGGCTTGTCTGGCCCAATACTTATCTTTTTGAATTTAATTTTATTTTTTAGAAAAATAAAATTCAGAATTCAAATTAATTTCGGAAATAAATTGGTTCGGTTTTTCTGTACACCCAAACAGGTCCCTTCCCATGTTTATCTGTTTGAATTTTGAACCCAACAGATTTAAATCTGTTTAATTCAAAAACAAGTTTGCACCTACCTGTGGCAACCAATCCATCTATAAATAGGACAGCTCTCATTTGATGTTTCATTCAGAAATTTCGTACTTCACCTCTGCAAATTTATTCTTCATTTTACTGTATTTAATTTTTTTTGTGAGAAAGAGTATGAACACTTAGTGTGTTCGTTAGGCAAACAATTTGTAGTGCTGCTATTGTTTGTAGTTGATCATTTCATCCTGAGATATAGACGTCCACATTCTGAAAGCACCATGAAGAGGACGAATCTGTCTTAAGGACACAGTGTCAAACACTGGACTTGATCAGAATAATATTCACGATATTAATCAAGTAAGTTATTTATTTATTTTCTGATTTTATTTTTATTTATTTAAATCAGATTTTAATTTTGTTTTGGTAACAAAATAAAATATGCTTTTATTTATTTAATTCTATTTTTAGTTTGATTTTTGTAATCAAACATTTTTCCCTCATTTCCTTTATTTCTTTATATTCTAGTTGTTGTTTAGTACACAACGAAATTTAACCTATTTAAATACAGTGAAGATTGTCCAACAATCTTAAAACATAGTCATTTTTCGGTATCTTCATTGTATTTAATTTTCTATGGTTTCAAAGTGATATTCTAGTTGGAAAATGCAAATAGTATTTATAAACTATTTGACAGATAGTAGTAATATACTGTCTATTTTCTTTGACAACTAGTAGTAATATACTAGTGTCATTAATAATTGCAGAATATTATTTAGTGTTACAGAAAATTATTGTAGTATTTTATTTTCTAATTTTAGTAACAAGGAAAATAAAATTATTTTGTGTTATAATTTATTTTCTGATT